ACCCCCACCCACCCGCCCACACCCACACCCCCCCCCACGCCCACCCCCACCCCCACACCCACACCCACACCCACACCCACACCCACACCCACACCCACACCCACACCCACACCCACACCCACACCCACATCCACTCCCAAATCAAAGCACTTACCATAGTAAATCGAAATGGTTCGTATGACATTAAGCGTTTTTCAATATAGTTAATCATTTGAAAGTCATCAAATTCACATATTTTGCAATAGCTTCTTAATCACGTTGGGAGTCAATTTAGTAATTTATTTAAACGACACATATGAATTGAATATAAGGTAAACTGAGATGCACTGTTGTTTGGTCTTTATTTTGAACATAATTGTTATATTGAAAGGTGAAATACACTAAAACATGGAAAAAAGCTGAACAGTGCAACCTGTTTCATAATTCAAGCTAAGGTGACATATTTATTTTTAGGTACTCTTAGTTTTTTTCTGGCATTGGATGGCTTTATAATTGCCGCGCATATTATATCGAATGTCATCATTCCGAAGCTTTAGGTCTTGAATCCAGCGATAATTTTTCTACGAAGATCACTGGGCAGTGTTGTTCATAAACTGAACTACAGACTGCACATAAAATATTTACTTCTGAAAGCAGCTACTGAGTAAAATTAGCTAATAAACACTTCTAAATCTTTCATTAGGGTCTTATGACTCAGTGCATAGAAAATATCCAAAAATGACATTCCAAACAAAGTTACAGTTGAAATCCATCCTTATAATTTAGTAAATACAACATCTGATTAAAGGTGCAGCATTATTGAGAAAGGCGTTGAACACTGGAGGCTTCCACAAAATTCACTACTACCTCTCTAGCTCCAAAGTATAAGCAACTAGCACTGCATTTCTACCTAATGTTGCCAGTATATCTAACTGATAGAATAATAGGGGAATATATAAATGCGTTACCTACTTATTCTTTTTCACGTATAAGGTGCAATGGCTTTATTGAGGTATTTACTAGGCAACAGTAAATAATTTCCTTCGGTATTTACTTGTAACTAGTAAATAATTTATTTAGTATTTACTTGTAAATAGTAAATACTTTATTTAGGTATTTACTTGTTACTAGTAAATATTTAATGATGTATTTACTTGTAAAGTAAAGGTAAAGTCCCACCCCTAATTTAATGACCATGTACCTTGTCCAAATTGAGATGACTTATCTATTAAATTTATATGATTATAAATTTCACTTTTTTTAACGACAGTATTAATACTTACTATGAAAAGTCTGTACCACTCGATTAAGATCAAAAATAAAACCAGGGCCGAGTAATATTGTATCAATGGCATGTTTTGGATTTATACAAAATTCACTGCGATTTGTACTCTCAATATTTAAGAAAGTTTTGTACATTTTATCTATAAATAACATACATCTTTAACCTATTGTCAAAATTGTAAAAATCTATTTTCGTACCAGAATATATTTTAAATGAATGAAAACGATATATTGCTTGATATTGAATATGTAAAATATCGCCATGCATATTCAGTGTAAATATTTTATTAAGACCATTAAAAAAACACAAATGATGTGCTACTCGATCTAATGCTAATAATGGCCGAAAATAATTAACATTATCAACATCATTTGTTGTTTTTAATGTAAACAATAATTTTAAATTTGTACCATTCATACCAATACGTAAAATCTGATGAGCACGTGATTTAACGGTAGCTGTGTACAATAGTAAACTAAAGAAAAATAAAATATAAAGGTAATCGAAATTCATAAAGTTTAGATTGGAATCCTTCTTGTATCTTTATTTTCCTAGAAAGTGTAAGTACGTGGCAATAATTCACTTTTTATCCTATTAAGGAAAAATTAAATTTGTCGGTATATATGAGCATTATTGAAAAATATCTTTGCATCGTAAACTACTCTCGTCAAAACCTATTCTTAGGCTAAATTTCTGATCAAAACATCAGAAGCGATGGATCGATTGAGTAATTGTCTTTTCTTGTATGACTATTTCAATTCGTCGCTACTCAATTCGGCGCGTGTTTCTTTTAATTGATTGTTTGTATGCGTGTTATATTGTATCAAAAAATAAATAAATAACTTCTCAAGAAAGTTTAAATCTAATATCCTATTGATGATTTCTAGTGAATTAGAAAAACTGGGCTCATATTCGACCTATATTTCCTATATTTTCAAAAATAGTCCTGTTTCTGTCCTCTACTTCATAAAATACCTATTTTTCCTATATTTTACCGAAAAAAGTAGAAGTCTTTCGAAAATTTATAAATTTTGCTACTGTGATTGTATGAAAAAATATTGGTGCGTGTAGTTATATGTTTTGAACGAGCTTTTGCATTATAGTATGATCGATTTTACGCAGAGGAACTTTATTTTCATCCATGTCATGGACTGACTAAGAAATAGTTTAACACTAACTATATCAATATTCATAATACTTTCTCAAATTCAAGCATCTAAGTAAGGACAACATACATATGTTCTTGTATATATTCTCAATTTTTCATCTGAATTCATTTAGAGATCTTTCTGATCGTATTTAGCAGAAAATGTCTTTACCCTATTTCCTTTCAATATAGACAACCAATAACTTTTCATTCTAAATATATACATTCCTATATATGTTTTTGTTTTCTTACTGTCTGTCCTGATTTACCACGTTTTTTATCTATCTTTCTTTAACTTCACGTAGTTGGTTTTCTCATACGGGGATTAAATTCGCATTCACCCGAACTCATTGTTTTAATGCAAAAGCTTTTTTCTTTTTTTTCTGGTTCTTCAACGAAAAAAACAAGTTAAGGATGCATATACGATTCCAGTGGAAACAGAAATGTAGTTAATACAATTCTAAAGTAAATAAACAGTTTTGAAAACAAAAAATTTCCATCGGCAGAAACTAATTAATAAAAATTATAATTGACAAACATTGAAATTGAATGAGCAATTGCCCATTTGTCTTCCCTTTGATTACGCCACTGGATATAGTGGAATATTGACGTCACTCGAACGTAGAAGCTAAAAACCACAAAACAATTGAACAGAAACGATGTAAAAGTAATCCTATATTTTTCTCGTTTTTTCTCGAAAATCCTATATTTTAGACAAAATTGATCCTCAAGGATTCCTATATTTTTAACCCTTTTGCTTCCGGCTTTTTTTTTTGAAAAAAATTCATATTTTTAGAAATTTTCAAATACAGCTTTTAGTTATTTTTGAAAGAAATCACATTTCTATGTCAAAGAAGCATTATTAGTTCATTATTGTATGATAATGTTTAAAGCAATCAATAAAACACAGAGAGATATTGTAGTCAATATGTATATATTGTGTATCGCATCGAACATCATGGGATGTGCAAACCACGTTTTTTCTTAGACACCACTTGGATGGTTATGTTTGTGGAAAAAGCAAAAAAAACAGGAGGTCATATACGAAGGTAGAGAAAAGAAGAGGGATCCATATGACGAAACGAGAGAAAATATATGTACACATTTAGAAATGAGATAACTTGTGGTCTCTAGGACCTTACAGGTCACAATATTATAGAAGATGACGAAAAGAAGTAATATTCCCACCCAGAAATATCCCAAAATGATAATGAGTCAAAAGAAAATAGTCCTGCAGGTACTAGCCAATACATAGGGTATACATCAGCAGTGAACAAATACCAGGACGTATATTTACGTCGCCGGGAGCCAAAGGGTTAAAAAATCGCAATATGAGGCCAGTGTACAGTTGAATACTTAACGACCGACATATGTTGCTACATTTTACTTATGAGAAATGATTGAAATATAGTATCTAGATTTTGATTATAATGTTTACTAATCGTAGACATATCTTCATTTGTTCTAATCAGAAGCTTATTGTCAAAATATTTGAAGAGTTTCTATAAAGAACACTAGTTCGATCAGTAGCTGAGTATGAGCATTGTTATCAACTAAAAGAAAGAGCTATTTTCATTTTAATACAGCATATTGCAAAAAGTTGCTCATAGATTATTTACTAGCAAAACATGTGATTACATATCACCCCGGAGGGGTTTTGAAGGGTAGGTGTTCGGTGAATAAAAATAGCATATTCGGATTCAGCGTGATCAATTACCTATATCCCCGTTGAGATCTCGAGAGGGTACCTCTGGC